CTTTGTTGCTGGTTATTTTAGTTTAAGGCACTTTTCTGCCCAGTGTAGCAAGTATTAATAGATGTGAACCATTGCACTGGGACCCAGCTAAGTCTTATATATTGAGGTCTTTGACATCTGAAGTATGTTGGTTTGAGGGCAGCCTGAGGTACAAGTCAGCAAGACCATTTCAACAAATGAGCAGGTGTGGTATTGTGAGATTACATCTACATGGGAGGCTGTAGGTAGGAGGACTGAGATTCCAGGTCAACCTTGTCAAGAATCAGATCCTATCTGAAAAATAACTACAGCAAAAAAAAATGGTCTGGGGCCATTGCTTAAGTGGTAGAGTGCCTCAGGGTCTTCAGTACAAAGCCCAATTTTGCCAAAAATGAAAATTATTGTTATTGAGTTCTTTCAAAATTCCTGACAGTTTTAGCTCTCTATTTTCATTAAACTATTACTAAATTTTGATTTACTTTGATTGCTCAAATTTTATTTTTAATGATTCTCCTATTTAAGCAGTACTTTAGAAATTTTGACTATGTTCTCTCTAATGATATGTTTATTGGTTCTCTGAGTGTTTCTGTTATTTCTTAATATTTTTATTCTCCTAATTTGGAAGGCATTCTTCTAGTATAATGGAAGGGGACTGTTAAATTCCAGGCCAGCCTACTTCCTACAGAGACCCTGTCTCAACTGCATCTCCCCTCCCCCAGAGTAACTTAATAAAGACAAAATAATCTATAAATATTCTTTCAGATAATACAGTTTTCAAAATCTAATCCTCACTTCTGCCACTACCAAACACTTGGAATCCACTAGCGTGATCCCAAATTTAGCAATTTAGCACTATGTTCCTTCCTTGTGTTAAGGAGTACAGTGTGTTGCAAGAACTATACTTTGTACCTTTGTTTGAAGGCTTCGTGTCGTTTCTCCGAAAGTTGAAGATTTAATTAGGTAAGTTAAACAAGGTTAAAAATGAAGAATCAGCCTAGCACAGGTAACTCAGTAGGCTGAGATCTGAGGATAAATTTAGCTACTCAGTAGGTTGAGATTTGAGGATCTAGGTTCAAAGCCAATAAGGGCGGACAAATCTGAAAGACTCTTATCTCCAATTAACCAGCATGTGACTCAAGTGGTAGAATGCCACCCATGAGCAATAAAGCTAAGGGACAGAGCCTAGGCCCTGAGTTCAAGACTCCGTACCGTAAACACACACACACACACACACACACACACACACACACACACACACACAAAGTATCTTTTTTTAAAAAAAAATGAAGAATCAGAAACTAATTTTACTCATTTTACTCACTTGCTTCTCTTCTGACAATCCACATTAAGGAAACAGCTACACACAAGATTGCCCCCCCCCCCCAATTTGGCAGACGTTTTAAAGGACTTTTTTTTTTTTTTTTAATTTGATGCCTTGGAATCATTTTGTACTAACAACCTGAATCTTCATATCGCATCAGTCTGAAGTACATGGAGGAAGCTAGTGGCTCAAATGGCCTTCTGGGAGCAATGGATCTCATCTGATTTCTGACAAATTGATGGGAGCTTGATGAAAGCCATGCTGCTGGTTTACCATCCAGTCCCTTCCATAAAGAAGGCCAGCCTGGCAGCCAGCGGCTCCCCACCTTCCCCCCAAAGTGGAGGCACCTTATTTCTCCAGCATCCTCTGAACAGAGTCCATGAGACTGGGTATTGACCACTACCTGACTTTGCTGGGCACTCTGAGAGAATAGTAGGCAGTATTCTTTACCTATGTGGAACTGGGTCCTAACTAGTGTAAGGATGTGTGGTATCAGGAAGGGATTCTTCATGAGACCAAAATAAAATCAACCTAGGAATACTGCCAAATTCCTCCTCTGTCTCTCACTTATTCTCATGGAAAGTTATTCTTTCTGAGTGGAATCAATCCAACAACAAAGGAAAGAGATTGCTAGCGAGGACAATTTGCTGATTATTAATCAGTGCCAAAGGGTTCCATTAACCCAACACCTTGTGTGGAAAAGAAAGCTGCTAGGAAAGCCTCATAGGAAAACTCAGAACTAGAACTTGAATTTGTCTCCCTTAGAGCATGCAGGGCAAGCCTTACTAGATGGCTGGGGACCAGCAGAGGCCAAATGGTGGTCAGCTCGTGATCCAGGAAGGCCGGGGTTTTCTGTGCTTGGCCCGGGTGCTGGGGCGAGGTGGGGGAAAGATGGTGGAGGTGGGGGTGGGGGAGAATGCTGTCCCTCCCGGGGTGCTCCTTCGGTGGCTTTATTTGTTGGCCTGCTGGTCTGGCCTGGGAAATGCACACTCGGCAGGGAAAGAGGAAGAGATCGGATGCAGTTTTGTAAAAACAACGCAGCTCAAATGTCCGTAGCTTGCGCCCCTCGATCGCTCTGCCCAGGCACAGACGGGTTAAAACACGCTTGCTGCAGCGAGGTAGCGATCGGTTCCCACCGGGAAGAAGGTGGCATCTGCGACGCCCCGTTTCCCTAGTGGGTCAACCTGCTAGATCCTGAGTGACAGGCGTACCTCCCTGAAGCCTAGGACGGATACGGTCTGGGGTCGCCTTAAATCTGTCGCTGAGCCCGCCCCGCGGAGCTGGAATGGGAAGGGCCGGGCCTGGGGAGAGGAGGGGGGCGGCGACGCGCCCGGGCTGTCACCCGGGGCCGGGCTTCCCCCGCCGCGCTGGCTCCCCGGGGTCTGTGCCAGGCGCTGTGGGCGCCCGATCCTCGCCCGTAGCCTCTCGCAGCTCCTCCGCTGCCCCTTCCCCTCGACCGGGTCATTGGACTCCCGACCCTTCAGTGCGCCCCGCAGCGCTCGGAGCACCCGGGGAGAACCGCCCAGCCCTGGGAAAGGCGGCTCTCGCGGGCGGGCTGGGGCGGCGGGGGCCCCGGGGATGGGCCGCCGGGCTCCAGGACGGACGGGAGAGCTGGACCGCGAGCGAGCAGCTAGGGTTGGGTCTCCGGTGCGGCCCGGCGACTCCCCCGCACCCTCCAGGGGCGCGCGTCCGGGCGCCTAGCCCCCCACTCAACCCACGAGCCCCCGGCCCCCTCGGGCCGTGTCCCAGCTCGCCCCGCGTTACTCCGCCGGAACGCCTTTGACCCGAGTCTCCCGGCCAACACCCCCACGCTGCTGCCAGCTCTTCGCTCCAGGTGGCAGCCAAGCTTGGTGCGTCACCGACGCGCGTGTAAAAAATCGCCAAGGAGTCCCTGAAGGCACATGACCTTTTCACCTTCCCGCTCACTCCTTCCGAGGGCGTCCGTGAGCGGGCAGCGGCCCCGAGCGGGCGCCCGATCTGTGGGCGCCACCGGTCAGTTCTCTCAATTGTCCTCGCCGTTCAGCTCCGCGTCCGCGGCCAGCAGCCGTTCCCGGAAAACCCTCGGGGGCGGGACTGGAGGCGTCCCGCAGACGGCGCGGACACGCGGCGGGGGTGGGGGGGGGTGGAGCGCGGGATTGCCCGCCGCGGCCGCTCGCGGGCTCGCGGGGCCCAGGCCGTGTCACTCTCTCCCCCGCCTACCCCGGGACGCACAGGAGCCCCCCCCCCTCCACGCCCCGCGCCTGATTTCCAAATCCCTGCCGCCTGGGAGCTGAGACGGAGGCTGGGCGGGGTCTGGCGACCACTGCCTCCTCCCCCCCCCAGGCTGGGAGGCACGCCGCCGCCCCTCCCTCTGGGCTCCCCCACCCCACCCCAGAAGAGAGGACCCCGAATCTCAGCTGACAAAAGCCCGCGGAGGGCACCCAGGCGCGCGCTCCGGGGCGGGGTGGCGAGGAGGCCGGGTGGGACGGAGGCCCGGGCTGTGCCCTCCAGGGCGGTCGGACCCGGCGGTGCGCGGCAGCGGCTCCGCCACCCCTCGCCCGGCCCTGCGGAGCTTCTCCCAGGGCACCCAGATCTTCTCCTTCCGGCCTCACCACCCGTGCCCCCCGGGACCGTCCAGAGACGCCCGACTGCCCCCGCTCCCCCCCCCCCCCGTCTTCGGCGGGGCCGGTGGGGAGTGGCCGGGAGCCCGCCCCGCGCTCCTCCCGCCGCGGGCGCCGACCTCGGGACTCAGAGTCGCGGGCAGCAGCCGCCCCCTCCCGGGCTCCCCACACTTCTCCGCGCCAAGGTCCTCGTCTCCCCGGGCCACCCGGGTCCCTCCCCGCGGGGATCGCGAGTGAGCACGCCGAGGTAGGCTAGCCCGACCCGGTGGCTGGCCAGGATCTCCGGGTCCCTTCCCGAAACACACGTCCACACACGCCCTGGGCGCCTAACTCTGCGCGCCTACGTTCCCGTGGAGAACCCTCGTAGGGTCTCCGGGAGACAGGCAGGCAGGCAGACAGACAGATAGACAGGCAGACAGGCAAGCCGAGGGGAACTTGTTCCTCCCTGGCTGCTGTCAGGCAATTGCTAGCGGGGCTAGAGCGGCGAGAGTGCGGAGGGAGGGAGGGAGGGAGGGGGGCGGGAGCGAGGGGAGGGCGGGGGGGGGGGAGGCGGGGGTGTAGTTGGTGAAACTCCTCGGTCTCGCGCTCATCTTTTTCATTGCTCGCTCCTTTCCTTCTTGCAGACAACCCGGACCTCCCCCGGGCGCCCGCTCCGCGGCTCTCGCCGGCCAGAAGCAAGTCGGATGTTTTTTTCTCTCCTCCCCCCCCCCCCCCCCCGCGCTTCTGGAAATTGGCTCTGGTGTACGTCGTAGTGCTTCCCTCCCCCTCCCCCAGTCTTCTTTTTTTTTTCTTGCCTGAGACATGGCCCGGGCAGTGGCTCCTGGAAGAGGAACAAGTGTGGGAAAAGGGAGAGGAAATCGGAGCTAAATGACAGGATGCAGGCGACTTGAGACACTGAAAGAGAAGCGTCGCCCGCGGCTCCAGGCTTCGCCTCGCGCTCTCCTCCCTCCGCCCCAGGACGGACGGAGGATTTCACGGCCCGCAGGCGGAGTGGAAGCGCTTTGCACCGTTCCGATCCGCACCCGCCGTGCCGGCCGCTCGGTCTCTCCGCGCGCCCCGCGCGATCGCGTCCTCCCGCGCCCTCCCGCGTCCTCCCGCGTCCTCCCGCGTGCGCCCGGGGACCCGCGGCGGCGAGGATGGAGAGGGGGCCGCCGCTCGCCGGCGCCGCGCTCGCCCTGGCGCTCGCCCTGGCCGGCGCTTTCCGCAATGGTAAGTGACAGGCGGAGGCGCGCTTGACCGGATCGCGCCCAGCCCCGCGCCCCGGGGCTCCCCGCGGCCGTCCCACCCGCCCGCGGCTGGCCGACCTGGCCACGGGACTCACCCGGAGCTGCCCGCCAAGGAAACTTCCTCTCCGGGTGGAGAAGTGAAAGGACCGGGGCAGGCAGGAGGATCCCCAGCCCTCGGGGTCCCTCTGAGGTCGGCTGCTGGGCTGTGGGGTTTCCTGCCTCCGCTCCGAGCTGCGCTGCCGCCTTCGCCCCGACTGGCACACCAATTATCTTAATAATATTTCCTCCCAGAGGCAATTAGGTGAGACTCCCTTTCAAAAAAAATCTGGTGGCGGCTGAAAGTTAATGAACAGTTTACCAGAGAACTTCCCGATTCGCTCGAAGTCCCCCGAACTCCTTCCTCTCCCGGGCGCCTGCAAGAGAGAGCGGTTTGCCCCGGTGGCTGGACCGCCCTACCCCCGCCGTGCCACCCGGCCCTCTTCCCGCCCGAGGATGAATGAAACTTACACGGTGTCAGTAAAGGAATCTGATGTAGACGGTGGAAGGCACCCAGATATCCGAAAAGTCCTAACCCAGCCCAAGCCTCTGCCCAGATTTGGAAAGCCCACTCATTGTTAGGTAAATGAAAGGCTGAGCTGGTATCCACCGTACCCCGTAAACCTAGATAATTTGTTCTCAATCGCGACCTGGTGCCAGGCAGGTTTGGATCATTCTGTAAAGTCAGCAAAGGCATGAGATTCATTTTTACAGTAAATCTTTAACAATTGATTCTTAATTAATGGCCGAATACTTATTTTGGTCTGGCTTAGACTTCAATCAAAGTAAATGGGAGAAGAGAGCATCCACGACTGTGTGGTATATTGTTTTAATAAGACACTGCCAGCGGAGGGGCTCCTGCCAGGAGGAAAATTTAAATCACACCTTTACGATGGAAGTTTATCTCTATGTGCCTTTTTGAGCTTTGTTGGTTTGAGCAGATTCCCCCCCCCCCCCAACAGGTATTGGAGCGGTGTTCTCAAAAGAGATGCCAAAAATTTTGTGAATGTAGATGGAATCCAGTTTATTAATGAATCGGAGTCGATGGCATTTTTCTATACTCTGGCAAGGAGGCAGATTCACTCAGAAATTGTGAATGTGAAGTTTGCTTTATTAATGAACCTGAGTTGGTGTCATCTTTCTATCGTTTGACAGGGAATAAAGTAACATTTCCCTACAATTGAAAGAGTCCAAATGATTAGATTTTAGAATTACTGTACTTCACCCTCTGTATTTCATGAACGCTGAGATTAGAACTCGGTGTGTGTGTGTGTGTGTGTGTGTGTGTGTGTGTGTGTGTGTGTGTGTGTGTTGAAGGTGGGGGAGGATGAAATTCACAGGGTTGGTTAGAAGGAGAATACAAAGAGCTATCAGATTTTAGGTTCTGAACTCCATAAATACACACACACACACACACACACACACACACACACACACACACACACACACACACACACACACACACACACACCCCTACCTTAATTTCCTTAACAGAAATCTGGGGAATGCTGAGAATCTGGGCTTTCACTGGCAAACTGGACTGGCTAAAGCCTTGTTGCTATGCCTGAGGTGACCAGAGCCAGTAAATGCCTAAGTCTGCAGCCCTCTTAAAGCCATGTCCACCTCTTCCAAGTACCAGTGTCTGCTAAATTAATTCATTAACCTTATTTAGGACTAATGGTCCAGAGTCATTAGAAATTGCTCTTTCTTAATCAACTGTTAGAGAGATTTAACAGAGCCAGGGAGTCTAGCAGTCCACATTATCTTATTACACTGTCACTTTCTCAGAAGTCACAGATTAAAGAGCTCTGGTGTGGTACCAAGCCCACCTAACTGTCTTCTGAAGTGACACTGTCAAGTGACTACAGCCAGGGCTGCTTTATTTCACTCTTGTAACAGATGCCAGAAACTGCCATGGCGTTTGGACAGAACTGGAGGAGAGTTAATGAGACCAGAACTGGAGGAGACTTAATGAGACCACTTTCCAAGTTTTCTGCACATTTAAAATCATGTATGCACAAGTCTCAGAAGAATCAGACGAGTCTAGGATGGTCATTAGCTGAGGTTCTGAATGCCTGTTACAACATCATTTCTTCTTGGCCAGCCTAAAGGTTTTCAAAGGGAATACATATGAGACCACCACACCCCACAAAAGAAAGAAAGTCAGAAACATCTAAAACTGAAGACAACAATGCAATTTATACCATCTTCTTTTTTAATTTATGGGAAATGACTTCTGTAATGCATGTAGCTTTATGCATTTTTGATGTGCACTTCATCTTTCATTTCCATTTGACCTGGTTTTCCTGTAATAAAATTCTGTAGATTTATAAATTCATGCTGAGAGCAAAGAATGCCATTCCCTTTCCACAGGGAGTCTATTAGATGCAATATTAAAATCTATATATACCATTTGTGATTGATAGGCTTATATATTTCACTGTTTTCCTACCTGGTCTTCTTACACAGTTTAAGCACCAAATTTTTATTGCTGAAAATTAGGCATCAATAAATATGGTAGTGTTTCAGGCTGAGGCTCTCTTGTATGAAATCCATCATAAAATGTGACAATGGGATCTATGCAGAAAATAAACTATCCTAGAGACTAGTTTATTTGAGCCTCAGAGACTCACTTCTGTATTTGTTTGTTTGTTTTTAAATGAAGACCAAAACTAGTTAGCTCACCTTTCCCAGAGTGAGAATGTAACTCAACCACATGTGATAGGTAGACCTCAGTGTGGTAGGTTGCCCTCCCTCCAACATTTAGATAATTAGAATTAATGTCATGTGGCTATTTATTTTTCTTTCTTCCTCATTACTTTGATGTAGACTCCAAGCCTGAGCCACTTGGAGAAGTAAGGCAGAATTAGTTCAGCTTCACCAATTACACATTTTGTTCTCTGATGCTTTGCCTCTCCAAAGAGAGATAACTCAAAATCATTTAGATTTATGGGCAGATAAAACAACAACAAAAGAGGTTAGGCTTCAGGCCAATCAAAGCCTAGGAAGACAATCCCCACTGATCAATGACAGAGACCAGGCTTATCATCAAAAAGCCACACAAGGGGTTGAACAGCATCTTCTAGTTACCTTCCACTTAGAACTTGCTACTTAATGTGATTACACTTCTTGGGGGATAATTAAGTCTAGCAGAAACTCCCAGGAGACCATGTTAACATCAATTGAGAGGATTTAATGTGTTTAATGCTAGAAGACTTTTTCTTTTGGAAGGAACTTTGGGGGTGGGTGAGTGTTCTCAAATCTCAACCAGCTTTCTCAATCAGTTCTCTATAAGATCAAAGAATGTTCCTGGGTAGAGTGTTGCTCTTAGGGACTTGTGGGAGCCTCTTAGAACTCCTCTTAACAGGTTATGGAATGTTTGCTAAACTGATTATGTGTATATAAATCTAGAATATCTTAGTGGTCAGTGAAAGATTTACTAAGGTGTTTATGTTTTATTATTATTTTATTTCAGATAAGTGTGGTGGTACTATAAAAATTGAAAGCCCTGGGTATCTGACATCTCCCGGTTATCCTCATTCTTACCATCCAAGTGAAAAATGTGAATGGCTGATTCAGGCTCCAGACCAATACCAGAGAATTATGATCAACTTCAACCCCCACTTCGACTTAGAGGACAGAGACTGCAAGTAAGTGAAAATGTTTTGAAAAGGGCACCACAGCACCATCTAGTGGTCACAGGTGTCTATGGGGGAAATCCTTTGCCTACAATGTAGGACATAAATGGATCCAGGAGGGATTCCAGTGTAGGCCAGATCACATGTCAACAGTTTGAAGTTAAATTATGCAAAGTGATTTCTGAGTTCCTCAAGCTAGGAAGATAACATTTAAATGTGTACCCTCTCATACTCTTTTCTGTTAAGACTTTGGTTTGAGAACTCTTTTGCTGAGAAATTTGTGCGTTGCTCTTTTCTTTTGGAAAGGGCTTGAAGAACAAGAAAGCCAAACTCTTTCTTGCGTTTTTCCTAAATCATGGGTCACCAAGATACATTATTCACAGATGGTGAGGATAGATATTTTTGAAACAAACATGTGGAACATTTCCTGCTTTTAGGACTGCATCGTATTAATAGATACAGTTTGATGTGAAAATAACAGATTAAATTACATGAAATTTTGGTAATAGTAGACTAATTCTTTTAAGAAAATGCTAGAAAATGATTACTAATAGACAATGCATACAATGCAAATTTAGGTTTTTAAACTTCCTTAGGCTTTATCTATTGCTGTTACTAAATATTGATTTATGTCAGATCTCGTTATCATAACATATCATAAGAGTGTCACTTCCTTTAATTGACAAAACTTGTGTGTACTTGCTAATTTTGAATTGGTTTTAAATTGTGCAGCTATCCACAAATACCCATATTTGCTTCTCTCTTTTGATACCCAGAAGAATATGTTTCTGTCTTGTCCACAAAGCTGTGCTTTCGTAGCAAAGTCTAGAGAGATGAACCCAAATATTGATGTATTTTTTGGGGGGTCCGGTCATGGGGCCTGAACTCTGGGCCTGGGCTCTATCCCTCAGCTCTTCAGCTCAAGGCTAGCGCTCTACCACTTGAGCCACAGTGCCACTTCCGGCTTTTTTCTTTTTGCTTATGTGGTGCTGGGAATTGAACCCAGGGCCTCATGCAAGGCAAGACATGCAAGGCAAGCGCTCTACCACTGAGCCACCTTCCCAGCGCCCAAATATTGATATTTTATTGAAAGAAAACAGTAGTGATATACTTTTGCAAGTTTTGAAGTGGGTCAGTTTGTCAGAATTGCATGAAAACTCTGTAATCAAGAAATGTACTCACTACCTACACATATAACTATAAGCCCTCTATCTCTACCCCATCTTGACAATAAAATTAAATTAAAAAATAAAAATCTGTAATCAACGGCTTCCACTGGAATAAACATTTTGCAGACATGTTCATTCTTAAAGATACTCAATTTGAATAAACTTATTCCATCTAGGGAAGCACAAAATAATTTGAAATTGTTTCCATCTCTAGGAATTTCTCAGCAACCAGTTGACTTTGTGGAGTAATCTAGTTCTGTATGCTCATGAAAGTGAGATTATCCAGTTAATTCAACATGCTGGTTCCTGAAGAATTAGCATAAATCCATAGATTGATGATCAATTTACCAATTATCAGCATATATTACAAGGCAACAAAAATTATTCTGATTTCAATTTCTTTTTTCTGTGACTCAGACAGAAGTCTTTTGGAGTATTGTACTGACTTTTTAATCTTCTGTGGAACTTACCATTAATAGAATGTTTTATTCTCTGCTAGGAAATAGGGAGCACATATTGTGTGTGTGTGTGTGTGTGTGTGTGTGTGTGTGTGTGTGTGTTGCTGAAAAAACTCTGGCAAAGCATCATCAATTAATAATATTATCCTATAAAAATAACTTCCTGTTAGTTTTTTTAGTACACTCTTATTTACTCATTCCTAGCCAGAAAAAATTACAGCCATGTGTTTGTATAAATGAATAAAGAGTTAAGAATGATAATTAGTTATTAGTAGTGATATGATAATGAATGTTTAACAACTGGCTCTTCGGTGGGGATGGGTTAAGTTCTAAATGATAACTTTTGCCTGTTTCAATGGTGTAAATACCACTAGCACAGTCAGTTTCAAACTCCCTGCCTGAGATGGCTATGCACAGTACTTCTTGGGAGCTGCTGCAAGCAAGGTCCTGTATACATATGGAGTAGAGGTTTGGAAGGGAAGTCTTTTGAATGAGGAAATAACATAAAGTGCAGACATACTTATTAAGCCTTGCATCATTATTTGGTATGGGACAGATTGAGGCAGGATTGGAGGAGCGCCTTTTTAGTTGGTTTCCTTTTTTTTCTTAAGGTGAGATTAAAGGATAATTGTAACTTGGTAGAATGAAACAATTTCCTTGTTACCAGCAAGATATTCAAAAGCGTAACAAACCAAGGAGATTGTCTCTATAAAAACAGGTGGTAAGGTCTGGAGGCCTTTCATTGTTTGAAGGGTTTTATCAGTTTGTTTTCTCTAAAGTGATTTCTTAATTGTCACAACGTGGGCTGTATTGCCTATGAAGGTGCCATTTCCTGGCCAGGGAAAGACGGATACACTTAGGCTGATGGAAGTAATCGTGATTAGGCTCATGTAAAGTATCTGGGCCATGTTTTCAAGTGTTGGTACCAATTTTTAAAACAATAAGTTATCTTTGAGTAATTGAATTCCATTATGTAGGAAGAAAAAATTAAGACGTGGCCCTCACTGTGATTCCAGGCTGACCCACACAGCCAAGGTTGTAGCACAATGCTAAGGAAGGATGTAAGCAGAATCACAGCTCTACAATTCCCTTTAAAAAATGTGGAAAATAAAAGGAGGATACTCTTAGGGGAAGAACCCAAAGGCCTCTAAACATCTAAAATGCTGTGTATCCAAATGAATTCCGGGAAGTGGAACCATGTTTTTGTTTTTGTTTTGTTTTGTTTTGCTGCTGTTGGTGGTGGTGGTGGTGGTGGTGATCGTGGTGATAAGGTCTGTTTTGGCTTTTTATTTTGTTTGTTCTCTTTTCTGTTTTTTGAGGGGGTCAAAGGAAGGCACAGAAATGGAGAGAGGGAGGAAGGATGAACAATGCAAGCATGATACTCAGTAGACACTATGTGAAAAATGAACTATGCAACTTCTAAGCAGGGATGGGAGAGATAATCTGCGAAAAGTTAAGTAAGGGAGGACATTTTCCAAAAAGAAATGCACTCATACCTGACTTATGAAATGGTAACCATGCTGCATAACACCTCAACAATAGCAATAAAATTATATTTCAAAAAGTGGAAAATGCCACACACTCATTGTGCGTGTGTGTCTGTGCACGTGCATGTGCACACACGCATACGTGTGTCTGTGTCTGTGTGTGAGAGAGAGAAAGCTGGTACTGGAGCTCAGGGTCTAGGTGATATCCCTTACCTTTTTCCTTAAGGCTGGATCTCTGCCACTTGAACCACACTTCCACTCTGGATTTTTGTAGTTAATTAGAGGTGAAGAGTCTTATGGCCTTTCCTGTACGAGCTGGTTTTGACCTATGATGCTCTCATCTCAACCTATTGAGAAGCTAGGATTACAGCTGTGAGCCATTGCGGCCAAGCGTAGATACATTAAGTGTAGATACACAAAGAATATTTTTATGGATTTCTGAGTTTGAATTAGATTCCCCAAAATATAGTTTGATTTTTTTGCCAGTTTTTTCATTTTTATAATTTATAATAGGCTGTTTATAAAATGAGATTTAGCAAACCACAGACACCTGCAAGGTTTTAGTTATTAATCCTATTAAGAAAAACTGTTAATCTTATTTAAGGTATTTAATATATTTCCTTATTTCTGTTCTAGTGTACCTCCAATGGCAGTAAAAATTACTTGCCATATGGATATAATGTTAACTTGTGGTAGGATAAAGTGAAATAGCAAATCTGAAAACCATGTATAAGATTCAAGTTAAAACTTGGTTATTGTTAGAACAGTTGAAAATATGAAACTTGCATGTCTAACAAAATATATTGATCCAGAAATAGGATGATTCTTATATAATAGCTTCTGCACCATTTCCTTTTGAAATGGCCATTATTTGAATATTAACACTCATCTACAGAAAGCACAATCAATTTCTAATCACATTTGTTTTTGCTTTTTTTTTTTTCAATAGTAAGGTTTGAACTCAGGGCCACATACTTGCTAATTGTTCTGCTGGTGTACTCACTTTCTGTATCTAGCCTGGTTATGTCTTGGCTATTTTAGAGATAGAATCTTGAAGACTTATTTTGCCTAGGCTGTCTTTGAATGCCAGCCATGCAGAACTTAGCTTCCTGAGAAGCTGGAATTTTAGGCATGAGCCACCACTGACTACTAGCACATTTGCTTACTCCTAAACATCTTTGAGGTAAATAATATTCTTACTTAAGATGGCTATATCATTGAACAGACAAGCCAACTAGTTTTGACAGAGAAATTTTTTTCATTTGAATTTTTTATCATTTTGTTTATAATTGAGCAATGAACCATCATTTCATAACTTTTTACAACGTAGTATATTTCATGGAGATTAGGTAAAAAGATTGACCCAAATCATAAGCCAACAAACTATGAACCTTACATTACAAAATAAGTAGTAAATTTTCACAATGGCTATGAGTGGGGGACATTTCCTTAGGAAAAATAATCGTGTAGTTGTTTCTGATAGCTTTGTAATGCAAATGTCACCACTTAATCAAATCAAGTTCATTACATATATACATCAAAACCGTAGTAATTTGATCCCTTCAAGTCTTCTGTTGAATGTGGTGTGATATAAACAAATCAATCATTAAACAGCAGAGCATCTGTCTGCAGGGCTGATGTGGGGTTAGAATTTCTGGCTAGAGATTGTTTGGTTGATAGAACAAAAGCCACAGGAGCCCACTCTGGTGCGAAGGGAAGGTACCAGCAGAACCCTACATGCTTGGGAAGCCTCAACATGCTGTTAAAAGTAGAAAAGAAGCTGGGTGCCAGTTGTTCACACCTTCCATCTTAGCTACTCAGGAGACTGAAATCTAAGGATCATGGCCAGTCAGGGCAGGGAAATCCATAAAATTCTTACTTCCAATTAACCAGCACAA